CCCAGCCTCCCTCCCGAGCCGCCCTCCGTCTCGCCTACGCGAGGATCCTGCTGTGGGAACAGGTCTAAAGCGCGCCCGAGCCCCGGCCGCAGGAGCGTCCCCTGGGCTCCGTGAGGGCTCCATTCCCGGCGGAACCCCAGCCAGCAAGAACGCTCTTCCTCGGCCTCCCCAGTGTTTTATCCGCGCCACGGAAGCCTAACACCCTGCGGGGCGCGGCTGCTGCCCCAACCCGAGATAAAGCGAACCTTCCTTCCGAGTTGCTGTCGGGGTTTTTGTCCCAGTGCTGGGACGACTGTGCTGCGAGCTGGGGCTGTACTCCCACGAGACACCCAGCGAGACTCGTGGCCTGGGTCTCGGGGCACGTGAAGGAGCTGGGGCCGCCAGCTGCAGGAGCCCGAGCGGAGCTTCCCGGCCATCACAGAGCCGGGCGCTAAAACGCCAACACGGAAACGGGCAGGGCTGCTCTAGAGATACCAACGCTGTGAGGAATGGCGGGAGGGATTGCCACCCATGCTGCCCCCGCCCCTCCCCCACAGGCACCCGAGCCAGCCCTGCGCAGGCCAGCATGGCTCCAGAACAGGTCAGCTGGCCCCAACAATCAGGTAAAAGTAAGTGCAGATTCTGGCGCGCTCCTGGGCTCTTCCGAGGCTTCACTTGCAATGTCTGGGTTGGCAACCTGAACTATAGTGAGTTACAACTGATTGGAAAGCTGTTGGTCAAAGGTCCGTGGCTCTCCTTCCTTTACTCTTGTTTCATGAAGACGAAAGGAAGTTACCGCGAAGGCTGCTCAAGATGGTAGACAATGCAGGGTCGCAGGCTTTTTAAGACACTGCTGCAGCAAAACACCGCGACCAAAAGCAAGCTGGGGAGGAAAGGGTTTGTTCAGCTCACACTTCCACATTGCTGTTCATCACAGAAGGAGGTCAGGACAGGAACTCACACAGGACAGGAACCTGGAGCAGGAGCTGAGGCACAGCCATGGAGGGGGCTGCTCACTGGCTTGCTCCCATGGCCTGCTTAGCCTGCTTTCTTATAGAACCAGGGACCACAGCCCAGGGATGGTTCACCCACAATGGCTGGGCCCTCCCCCACCCTGGTCACTGAGAAACTTACATCTCAGCTGGGGCTCCTACCTGATGACTCTAGCTCTCGTCATCAAGTTGACACACATATCCAGCTAGTACAAGCAGCCACACAAGAAGCTCAGAGGAGCCGAAGGGGAGGATGGCAAAGTACCCGACATTAAAATCTGAAGCCCTTGAAACTATTTCCTGTAACTCTTTAAGTGCTCCTCAGTGCCTTCTGATAAACCTTTCTTCAAGCCATTTCAGAAAGGTGTTTGCTTACTTGAAACTCAAGTGTCAAGTTCCTTTTTTTCTTTTTTAATGTATAGAATGTTTGCATGTACACCTGCATGCCTGAAGAGGGCACCAGATCTCACTATAGATGGTTGTGAGCCACCGTATGGTGGCTGGGAATTGAACTCATGATCTCTGGAAGAGCAGCCAGTGCTCTTAACCGCTGAGCCATCTCTCTAGCTCTAAGTGTCAAGCTCTTGATAAGCAGTATTAAGACCTGTTTTTCTCACTGTTAACTATATTTATCCTCCATTTCCCTTAGTAACTTTAAAGAGTATATAACATCTTACATTAGAAGCAAAAGTAGGAATTCTCCCCGTAACTTAATTTTTTAATTTACTTATTTTTAACGTGGGTGAGTGTTCTGCCTGCACATGTCTGTGTATGGCCTGCACGTCTAGTGCCTTTGGAGGCCGGGAGAGGGCATCGGATCCTCTGGAAATGGAGTCACAGAAGGTTGTGAGCTGTGGTGGCGGTGCTCAGAACTGAACCTGGATGTTCCAGAAGCATAGCTCCTGCTCTAACTGGCTGAGCCTCCTCTCCATCCCACAACGTCATACATTCCTATCTGCCTGCCGACTACAAAATGTGGGCTGCTCCAAAGAGGCTTTCAGCACCTTACAATTAAAAACTTAACTTTCAAAATGTAATTCATGGCTCAGATATAACCATTTCTAGTAACTATATCAGTAACTACAAACACTATTCACCTGATACTATGTTTTTAGTACCTCATTCTGGAGAGCTGTCCTGTGGGTACACACTGAGCCACCTACAGCCACTCAGCGACAGTGGCGGGGAAGGCTGAGTCTGAGGATTCAGGTGGAGAATTTAGGGAGATCGGAGCAGGCAGTAAAAGCCCATGTCGAGGGCCTGCTATCCCCATCTAGAGCTGAACACGTCAAAGCTTCAGGTGCCTGAGCCAGGGCTTGACTCCCGGCAACCAAATAAACATAAAGAACTGTAAATAAAATAAGGAACTGTAACTGCTGAGAGACAAGGACGGAACTCTGGAGAATGCAACCCAGGTCCTCAGAGCCTCGGACTTGGCCTGGGTTGAAACAAAATAACTTTTCTGATAAGCTGAGAGTCCTGTGTGGGTACAGGGCCATGGAGAGTGGTGGCAGGTGGCAGGTGTTGTGCTCAAATGTCACAGCTGGACTCAGTTCATCAAAAACAACAAACCCACTCGGCACAGTGGTGCACGCCTGTGATCCCAGCACTCGGAGGCAGAGGCAGGAGGATCTCTGTGAGCTTGAGGCCAGCCTGGTCTAAAGTGAGTCTAGGACAGCCAAGGCTACACAGAGAAACCCTGTCTAGGAAAAAACAAAAACCGTAATCCATCTCCAAAGAAACTCTTCCTTGGTGTTACTACAGAGACTTCTACTGGAGAACAGAAGTCAACAGAAACAACAACAATTCAGTGTTGTCTCCTTGGCCCCTTCTAGAGGAGCAGACTGTTTCCTGAGTGGAAACCTTGCTTCTACAAGGAATCTCACTAGGCCTCAGGAAGCCCAGAGGTTCTCAGCCTTCCTAACACTGGGACCTTTTAACACAGTTCCTCATGTCATGGAGATCCCAAACCATAGTTATTTCTTTCCTTGCTACTTCCTAACTGTAATTTTGCTACTGTTATGAACTGTAGTTTTCTGTATTTTTCTGGTCTTACAAGATCTTTGTGAAAGGGTTGTTCAGCACCCCAAGGAGGTCACAATCCACAGGTTGAGAACCACTGCTGTATATTGTCTTGGCTGTCCTCAACCTTTACATTCTTTCCTAGAATCAGCTTGCAGATTTACACACAACCCACTGAGGTTCGCGAAGATTCCTCTATAGGTCGCTATGAGGGGTCTGATCACACACACTCAATCTGTGCTCTCTCCATGGTATTACTCTCAGCACAGAGTTCTTGGATCTCTTTCACATGAATCATTCCTCGATAGGACAAGTCATCCCAAAGCTTCTAATGTTGTCTTATGTGAAACAAAGGTCTCTCCTAGATCCGGGGTTCTGGACCTGACTGGGTATCAAGGACAAGCCCAGACACTGATAGGTAAGCACTATACAATTTAGCTGATCCCTGACCTTTACCTTATCTGTGGTCTTTGTAAAGAAATGTTAAGACAGGAAAAATACTTATGTACTGCAACAGGCCAGCACCCTCCCCCATCTCAGGGGACATTACTAACCCTTGTTCTCTTCCCCATCAGGGCTTTCCTCCTCCCTACCCTCTGAAGTAGGCATTTTTCAGATTTTTTTGCCTAGAACCTTTCTATTCTGTAATGTCAGTATCTGTTGAGAAACCATTTTAAGGTCCATTATTATCATCTTTCTGAATCAGCAGGCCGAAGGTGCTTTCCTATTCTTGAGAGGCAAAACAGGAATTTGCTTTCCTTACACACACACCTTCACCCCAAGGTAAATGTAGTTATCTTTGCTCTGTCCTTTTCTGCATTCCAGTACAGCCATTTCACTCCCACGGTTTTCCTAAAACTGTCATAGAGACCCATGAATCCTCACAATGTTTTTATCCCTAATTTATATTCCTATTTCTTTTTACAGAAACGTACACAGCAGTGTTTCGGAGTCAAGGGGTTGGAAAGCCTATAAGAGGCCTCAGTGTTTTCAGTTTGGGGTCTTGTTTTGTTTTTCTTGAATTTCCCACACAGAGGGTCTAGCTTTTGTGTTCCAGGATTGAAAGAGCTGATGTTACATTCCTGAGAGAAATCAATTCATTAGACACTGGAATAAAAAAAAAATATCAAAGTACAATTCACAATGAAAAAGGTAACAGTTCAAGGTAATTGCTATTCACTTTATTTATAACATTTGCCCCTACAGAAAATAAAAAACCATAAAATTAAAATACTCTTCAGAAACATTTTTTTAAAAAATATTATTAGGCAGGAAAGGAAGTATTTTGCCAGGTGCAAAAAAATGGTTCTGGTAATGGACACAACTGATTTTTCTCTATCAATGCCTTATATGTATCCATTTAATTAGAATCACAACTCAACCTTTTTCTGTCCCCTCCCTCTCCCCTTTTTATTGTTTTCCGGAGACAAGGTTTCTCTGTGTAGTCCTGGGTGTCCTGGACTCACTCCGTAGGCCAGGCTGGCCTCGAACTCAGAGATTTGCCTGCCTCTGCCTGGCTCAAGCAGTTGGATCTTAAGGGAAAGAGCAAGAGTGGAATGGAGGGTCTGAATTAACCAAGTGGAGAAGGACCTGCTAAGAAACCTCGCAGCCCCTTGGATGCCGCTCTGCAACTCAGTAACAGAATTCCCAAGAATAGTTTTAACCTTCAAGATTTTTTTTTTTTTTTTACTGTTGCTTCCAAATTCTGCAGGACACACACCTGCACGTCAGGGCCTCTGTGTTCCTCCTGTGACAGGAAGGGTAACAAAAAGAGCAGACAGCGTGTCATCAAGCCAGTATCCCTCAATCTGGTGAGGAAGTGCAGTTCAGCCAATCTTCCAGCTGGATGGAACCTGCCAAGAAGGCAGCCGGGCCTCTCCCTCTCCGCGCTCAGGAAATGCTCCTGCCACCACCTCAAGCCGGAGTCCCCAGAAAGTACTCACTGGGGAGGGCAGGGTTCTGTTGCTTTATTTCCCCACTCACGGCACTCACTTCTTAGCAAGAGAAAGAGCCAGGGGGAAAGCCTGCCCCATCAGACCCTCCCGGACCCCACTGCAGAGATGAGCTGCCTGGCCAGGTCCTTAGGGCTGGGATCCCAGGTAAGCCGGGCAAAGGTCCCACCTCCAACCGGAGACCGACACCCTAGAACACCTGCGGGGGAGAGGGGGTAGCCACTGTCTGAGGCCGCCGATCCCCACTGCCCCTCACCCGAGCCTGGCTGGGGCCTCCACCCCGGCCCGGCCGCTCGGCACCGGAGACGGAGCACCTCGGCTCCGGGGCCTCCATCCCCGGGCTTTCCCACGGCGCAGGCCCGCCACGGGGCCTCCATCCCCGGCCTTTCCCAAGGAGCAGCTCCCGCCCGGGGCCTCCATCCCCGGGCTTTCCCACGGCGCAGGCCCGCCCCGGGGCCTCCATCCCCGGCCTT